GTAAAATCAATGGAATAGGTTCAGAACCATGGGGAATCCAGCAGCCCCGAACTTCCTGCTTTAGGATAGAAAGTTCCCAGAGTGGCTGTTATCGGATTTGGAGCAAACTGATCTTCCTATGCCCCCCAGGCACGCTCAGCTGCCAGGCAGCGATCCACAGGTGCACGCACTTGTACCCATAGGCAAACACCTATAGAGAGACACCCACAGCCCTAGACATCTCCACTCATACACATGCTTATCACATAGGCCTGCTATAGACTGCTTACGTGCTGCTGCCTGACAGCCCGTAGCTCTCAAAGCTTTGCCGGAGTCTGCACCCAAAGGACCGTGGTGCTCAGAGTAAGCAGCGTGGGCAGGTGGCAGACCTGTCAAACCTGCCCTTTAATTTTGTGCATAAGAAAGACCAGTCGGCGTCTGCTGGAATTGCTGAAGTGGAGGTGACAGCGCTAAGGAGGGTCCAGCTGCTGGCTTGGAAATCTCTAGGGATCTTGTTTTCTTTTTCATTACACACCTGCCCAGAATTGTGCCTGCTACCAAGGGCAATATCTGGAAAATACTGCCCAGTGTCTGCCCACCAACACCCTGTGCCCAAGGGGGCATCTCACCCCCACCTGAGAGACCATTCCTTGCCTTTAGAGCTCTGACTGCGGGGCATTTTATATCAGTGAAATCCCCGACAGAGACAGGGGTTAGCCACAAAGTCTCTGTTTCTGAATGGATGCCACTCCTGACACTATAGAGTTTAAGGTCAGAAGAGACCACCAGATCATCTAGTCCGACCTCCTCCAGGACACAGGCCGCCAACTCCACCAACACCCGCACATTAAACCCAACAGCCAAAGTTAAACCCCTCTGCAATGTCAGAGGAAAAGTTCCTTCCTGACTCTCTGAGACCCTGAGCAGGTGAGCAAGAACCAGCTAGTCTGGGAGAGAATGCTGGATGCCATCCCAGAGCCCTGGCCCTCCCCGTCCAGTGTCCTGTTCCCAGCTGTGGCCATCCCTGATGCTTCAGAGGAAGGAGATATAAAAAACAAACAGAGAATACATTGCAGGGGCAGCGGGGATGGGAGAATCCCTTCCTGACCCTTGCAGGCAGCCATCTGAAACCCTGAAGCATGCCCTTTTAGGGACAGAAGACATGAACCAGAAGTGAGGCCCGTGGCTGCTGAGCCCTGCCCCCCACCATCACAAGCAACCCCATCGTACAATCGCACTCATAAATTTATCCAGCTCTCTCTTAACATGAATTGTTTGCTCCCAGCCCCCAACTCCTAGGAGAGGCTGTTCCAGAACCTCCCCCTTATGAGGGTTAGAAACCTTCTTCTAATTACCAGCCTGAATTTGTTCTTTAGTTTATATTCATTTGTTCTTATGGCAACATTGTTCTTTAGCCTAAAAGCTCTTCCCTGCTCTGGTATTAACCCCCCTCCTCCCCCGATGTATTTAGAGAGAGCGATCGTAGCCCCTGTCAGCTTTCTTTTTGCTAAGAAAGCCCAACTCTTCCAGTCTCCTCTCCTAAGACAGGTCTCCATTTCCCTGTCCCCTGTCCCTCCTAGCAGCTCTGCTCTGCACCTGTCCAGGTCAAGTTCATCTTTCTTGAACATGGGTGGCCAGAACTGGACACAGTATTCCAAAGGAGGTTTCCCCAGTGCCTTGTACACTGGCCCTAATACTTCTCTCTCTCTCTCTCTCTCTCTCTCCTGAAAATGCATCAACCCTGGCTATGTTATTCCTCCAGTTATTTATCCCCACTGTTAAAAATGCGTGCCTTATTTCCAGTCTGAATTTGTCCCACTTCATTTTCTAGCCATTGGATCGTGTTAGACCTTTCTCTGCTAGATTGAAAAGCCCGCTATTAAATATATGTTCCCAGTGTAGGTACTTATAGGCTGTAATCAAATCACCACGTAACCTTCTCTTTGTTAAGCTAAATAAATCGAGCTCTTTGAGTCTGTCACTGTCAGGCAGGTTTTCTAATCCTTTAATTGTTCTCGTGGCTCTTCTCTGAGCCCTCTCCAGTTTGTCAACATCCTTCGTGAACTGTGGGCACGAGAATTGGACAAAGGATCCCAGCAACAGTCACATTAGTGCCAGATACAGAGATAAAATAACCTCTCTGCTCCTACTCGAGATTCCCGTTTATGCCTCCAATGATCACATTAGCTCTTTTGGCCACATCACAGTGGGAGCTGTTTATGTTCTGCTGATTATCCACCACAACCCCCAAATCTTTTTCAGTCACTGCTTCCCAGGGTAGTGTCCCCCATCCTGTCAGTACGGCTACACTCTTCCTAGATGTACACATTTACCTTTAGCCATATTAAAATGCATATTGTTTGCTTGCACCCAGTTTATCAAGCGATCCAGATTGCGCTGTGACAGTGATCTGTCCTCTTCATTATTTACCACTTCACTTTTTGAGTCATCTGCAAACTTTATCAGTGAGGATTTGATGTTTTCTTCCAGGGCATTGATACAAATGTTAAATAGGGTAGGGCCAAGAACTGATCCCTGCGGGACCCCCACGAAAACACACCCACTTAATGATGATTCTCCATTTACAGTTACATTTTGAGACTAATCACGTAGCCAGCTTTTAATCCATTTACTGTCTGCAGTGTTAATTCTAAATCAGTCTAGTTTTTTTAATCAAAATGTCATGTGGGATCACGTCAAACGCCTTGCAGAAGTCTCCGTATATTACAACAACGCTGTTTACCTTTATCAACAAAACATGTAATCTCATCAAAAACCTGGCATCACGTTACTCTGACAGGATCTATATTTCATAAACCCATGCTGATTGGCATTAATTATATTACCCTCCTTTCATTCTCTAAATTCTAAACTTAATTCTCTCTTCTCCTCTGTCGCTTCCAACTGATATGCCGCAAGCTCGTAACAGAAATTATCATGAGCCCCTAAGTGCATGACTTCGCACTTGGTACAATTGAATTTCATCCCATTTCTGTCACTCTTGTCTCCAAGGTCATCTCACAATTCTTGTATAATATTCTGGCTCTCCTCTGTATGGGTGATGCCTCCCCTCTTTGAACCATCAGCAAAATAACCTCCCTCCAGTCTGATCTTTCACCTTTCAGCACATCCCATAGGAACAGGCTAATCACCCGTTCTGTGAAAAAGCATTTCCTCTGATCACTTGTGAATTTCACCCTTTCCCATGTCAGTGACTGTCTCTCATTGAAACAGGGAGAACAGCCCTGGATCTCCCTTCTCGATCCCATTCAGGATTTTATCACATCCCCTCTCTAAGGGGAACAGTCCAGATCTCTTCAGTCTCTCCTCCGAGGGGTGTCCCCAGGCTCCTAGCATCCCCCGGTTGGTGTTGGACACAGAGGCAAAACCCAAGAGGTTCAACCAATCCGATGTTTACTGCAGCCTCCCAGAGACTGCACCACGACCGGATCCAGTCTGTTCCCTTGCTGGAAAGCGGGTCCCTTTGTAGCACAAAGCCCCAGGCATTGCAGGTCTAGTACACCAGGTCCTCAAGCGGAAACCGAGTCCCCAAAGCCATTGTAGTTGCTCCTCCGTCTGTACGGCAGTAGCAGGCTGTTGTAGGAGCGAGGGTCGGCCATGGCGGGGGGGATGGAGGGGGGGCCCATGGAGTGACCTCAGGGCGATATTAGTACAGAAGGGCTTTGGTGGTGAAGCACACCTTGCCTCCCAGCCCTGTTCCCCTGCCCCCTTGGCAGCACCATTCTGCCCCCCTGCCCCCCTCCTCCTGCTCGCTCGAGGCCTGCGCCTGTACCTGGAGCAGCCTCCTTCACGCGCCCCCTACTCGCGGAGGTGGAATTGAACCTGGGGGGATTCTGTGTGGGGGCCGTTGGGCATGGTCAGGCCTTGGGGTTCTCCCAGGTTCGGAGGAAGCCCCATAGATGGCCAGTGCAGGGACCTGGCTAGCGCTGTCTATGCTTAGCACAGTCTGCAAGGGGGGCTGGCATCATCCAGGGGATGGGCTTAGGGGTAAGGACGCCAGGGCCAGTTCCCAGCTCTGCCATTGTTCTAAGGCATGTCGGGGGAGAAATCCCGACCCCCTCCGAGCCACAGTTTCCCCATCTGTAGCAGGGGATCGTGTCGCGGGGGCACGCAGAGTCAGAGGCTGCGTCTGAAAAGCTGGAGCGAAGTGACTGCGCAAACTGGGCTCCCTGTTTGTTGCCTTACCCACAACCCCGCCCCATCCCCACTGGTCTCAAAGCACCATGCGAGGTGTGCGGGGGTGGGTCTCAATCCCCATGGCAGGTTTCGAGGGGGAGGGGGAGGCCAGGTCAGCGGGTGAGGGCTGCTAACCCTGCCCTCCCTCATCATTGCTGCCTAGACGCTCCCTGCCCTGGTGCTCCCGACTCCTGGCACAGAGTCGCTGAATCTTTCCGCCAAGGGTTTAACTTTTAAAGGCCTTAGCAGCCACCAACCACCAGTGAGACAGGACTGGAGAGGGAGGACAGGAGCCTGACAGTCCGTGGGCCCGATCCTGGGCCGAGTCCCCAGAGAGTTCCCCCACCAGCAGGCCTGTCTAGGGCAGAGTGGGGGGCTCAGTCTCTGTGGCCCAGTGGGTCCTTGGTCCCCTGTGCACCGGAGAAGTGCCGTGGTGTTGAGAGGGAGGGAGGCACTGGGCTAGGCGTCCTGGGGTGACCTAGGGAAGTCCCTATGCCTGTCTTCTCTGCCCAGATTGTCTGGGGCAGGGATTATATCGGTACAGCGCCTGGCACAGTGGGGCCCTGGTGTCACTTCCAGGAGGTAGATCCCAGTGACAGTGTTAACGTATCTGGGGTCGGGGCTAACAGTGTTTCTGATGTGGACATGTGAGACCTGGACCTAGACCACCCCAAATTCATTGCCCTGGGCACTGGGCTGAAACCCCTCCCAGTTGGCTGCACCCGGGTGCCATTGGCAAGGGGAGGCGGCTCCCAACTCGGGTCGGTAACTGGCCTGCTGGGGCTGGGTCTAACCGGGCTGTTGTCTGTGTGCTCCCCCTGCAGCAATGGCGGAGTACTGCAGCCTGCTGAAGGAGCTGGCGGAGAACATCACCAACGAGGACCTGGACCAGCTGAAGTCGGCCTGCAAGGAGGACATCCCTAGTGAGAAGCACGAGGCGATCACCACGAGCAAAGACTGGTTCAGTTTCCTGGAGGAGCACAACAAGCTGGACAAAGGTGAGCGTGTGCACGGCTGGCGCCGCTCGGTCCTGCTAGCCCAGCCCTGCGCTGCCCCCCGTGCACAGTTCTGCTCACGCCCCTCAGGCCCGAGCTCTGTTCGTGAATCACGGGCGGCACTGCAGGCTGCTAAGTGAGCTTTGACTCCCCGATCCAGTGTCCGTGCTGCCCGACACAGTTATTGTTCAATCCACTCCTCTCTAGGGCTTTGCCCAAGGGCTGGGTCCCTGTTGGTAGATACTGGGGATGGAAGGACAGATAGATCCAATGGATGGGTGGATGCCTTAGTGAGCCGTTCCTCTCCATCAATGCCCCCCTCCCAGTCTCTCTCTCTTTGAGAGATGGCTCCGGTTTATTTTATGCCCTGGGGCTGGTGCCTGCCCTGAGCGAATGGCTGGTGAGGATGGATATTTCCATAGCCCATTTGTTTGTCCAAGGGTTGATCCCCTGGCCCAGCACTGAGATGCAGCCACTTCTGGGCTGGGACCTGGCAGATTGTTTCATCGATGCAGCACAGGAGTTCAGGTCGGGGAGAGAAAAATAGTCCACTGAACAACTGAAACCACCATCTGATTCTCCCCTCCCAGAATGGGGCCAGGACACCTGGGTTCCTCCCTCCCAGTGCCATGGGACCCTTAATGACATCTTTTATAGGACAACACCCACCTGCCAAAGGAGGCTGGATCACCAACACTGCAGCTTGCAGGCCAAAGTGGGCTCCTATCCATGTGCAAGAGGGTGCCCCATTGGGGGGTAGGCAAGGGCGGTGTTCCTCCCAATTCCTGACTGAGGCTTCCAAGCAAAGTGACATGACCCACCCCACACCCTGAGAATCCATGCGGAGCCCAGTGCATGCTGGGACAGCCCTTTGCGGGGGGCCGACACCTCAGCTCCTGGTGGAAATGGCCGATTCACCCCAGCCATGGGCTGATCTCAGGAGCTCTGTGTCTGCAAGTGGCCCTTGCATCCACACGGTGCTTTGCAGCAGCTGCAGGGAGAACACAGGCAGCGCCACCCCAGGAAGCAGATTGCCCCAGGGTCTCTACCAGCCCTCCTTCCCCAGCCAGGGAGACCTGAAGGTGAAAGCAGCCCAGCCCTGTGAGTCAGCCCAGCGGCCTTGGGAACAGCCAGTCCCAGTTCCCAGGAGAGACAGTGACTCAGCAGGCCCAGCCAGGAGATGTGTTCCTGGGAGGTGAAAGTGGTACATGGATGGCGCATGTGTGTGCGTCTGAAGGGGGCAGGGGGGCTCTGCGCCCCAGGGTGCAGAGGAGAACATGCACACCAGGCACCGACAGACTGAGCCCTTCCCTGTCCGTCTTCTGGGGGTCGGTCCCCTAGATGCAGGCTTTGCACTGTAAGGAGCTGGTTAGTTCTCACTGCTGCCTGGATGCAGAACTGAGCCTAGGCTCTGTCCGACAAGGTGCCAGGGGGGATTCTCCTGTAGCTCGGGCGAGGGGAGCAGGAGGAGCCGTCGCCCAGGTGGCCGTGGAGTTCCAAGTGAGCACGGCCCAGAAAGAGATGTGAAGTGCTAGGCAGGGCTGGGATTATTTGCAGTGGGGAAAACGCAGCCCAGACCAGAGTGACTTCAGTTTCCCAAGCGAAGGGTGATGGTGTCCCCATTATACAGATGGGGAAACTGAGGCATAGCGGCTTGGTGGGTGCTGTGTTGCAGGACGTGCTGTCATCTTTCAGACGAGAGAGAGAACAGCTGCCAAGGCCCTTCTTGCTGGGCTCAGAACATTAGCCCCTCTGGGTCGTTTCCGGCTCCCTGCAGTCCCAGTCAGAGATAGGATTTGCCGATGCCCCTCAATCCCGACTCGCAGTCCCCTGCTATCCCAGCCCTGGGTCCCCCCTTCCCAGCTCTGCCAGTGCCCCTCAATCCCAACCAGCAGCCCCCTGCTATCCCAGCCCTGGGTCCCCCATACCCCAACAGCTCTGCCAGTACCCCTCAATCCCGACCCGTAACCCCCTGCTATCCCAGCCCTGGGTCCCCCATCCCCCCCACAGCTCTGCCAGTGCCCCTCAATCCCCACCCACAGCCCCCTGCTATCCCAGCCTTGGACCCCCCCATCCCCCCCACAGCTCTGCCAGTGCCCCTCAATCCCCACCCACAGCCCCCTGCTATCCCAGCCTTGGACCCCCCCATCCCCCCCACAGCTCTGCCAG